TTGACGAAACGTGCCGAGACGAATCCGAGTTTGTGCGGCAATAGTTCCCCAACGGCGAGCCACAAGCCAGCGTTTGGCCCTGACGGCCTGTCATACAGGCGATCGTAAATGCCAGCCGCGACCACGTCGCAACCAGCGGTGTAGCACGATGCCCCCGACGAGGCTTCCAGTGCCAGCTGCAGTGCGCGCAGCTCTCCTCGAGGCACGGCCTGTCGGCTTCCAGCCAACGGGCCGCGGACCGACGCTCTCGCACGACACGGCTCGACTGACTGTAGCACAACAGCAGACACACCCACACGAATCCATTTGGGATCGTGGGTCTGCTTCCCCCCACTAGCATCCCCGAAGATGATCAAACCATCTCCCAGACTCCCATATCCGAGACAAGCCTCCAAGGTCTCCGAGCTCGCTCCAGTGATGGTCCAAGCTTGCTGCAGTGGAGGGGGGGATATACCTGAGTATGGGCTGACGGGATCAGCCCACGCAGCCACAGGCATGGCTCGGCCTCCGCTTGGGCGTAGGCAGCAGTGGCCAGCGACTCGCTATCCTGATGCGCCTTTGCTCCTTGGTTGGCCTCGCAGCTCCACTCTCGATGGACTATTGTCGCTGGAATTTTCCCGCATCGCGGGCACAACACGTGCTGTTCTCCTTTGATCTCTTCGCTCCTCCCCAGTGCCGTACAAGAGCCACCGCAAGTCGACCTGCTGGATTGGTTGCAACGCAAAAGACGGCGAAGGGAACAATTGTTAACTCCTTTATCTGCGCCTGCTCCGCAGAAGTGGGCCGATGCTCGGTCCCACTGCAAGGCTTGTACTGTGGCGTCAAAATCTTTAAGAAGGGGGGTTGGGGTCATCCTCGATAAGGTTGCCTTCCAACTCAGCAGATGGGAACTTCCATTCTGCAAGTTCCCCACACATGTTGTTATCAGGTGCAACCCACCGAGAAGGCTCCAGTGGATCCCACCCAGCTTCCAACACATACATAATGACGGCCCCTGCGGAGCCTCGGACCAGACGGGACCGATGTCCAGAAGCTGTTCTTCGGAACTTGGCCAGCAGTTTGGGCCATGCCCGAGAAATACTGGGTTTTGCAAACTTGGAATCGGCAGCCATTGGTTTAGCCACAACTGCCGACAAGCTCTCGGCAGGGTGTAGATCAGGTCCCCTCCAGGGCAGCGCTTCCCAAAAGCGTGGTTAAGCATCGCCCTTTCCTCCCCGTCCCACATGCAGCTCCAATCTGCCGTCTACATCTTATCATAGCCGCTCCAAAACCACAGTGCAGATGGTGCGCGTGCAACTCAGCTGCGAGCGTGCCAGCTCTGGTGAGCTTGCTGGTGGCATGATATCGTCTGGCTGCACGCGCGAACCCGACCACCTTGCGATGCACAGGCTGCGCTTTCTGGGCCCGTTTCGTGAGAACCTGGCGGGCGTGGTGACATACATATTCGACAAATCCAGGTATTCATCCAGAGCGGTGATGGGAGGCCCAGCTGGGGCAAGAGCGATAGCCGAGTTCAATGTAGAAGGGAAGGGATTCTATGGGCTCGAGGATCCAGACCCGAATGCTGACCTGCTGCAAGAGATCGGTATCGCTATCCCACGACCTCCGGTCAATTGCGTCATGTCGGCCATGGGCGAGGAGCTCCCGTCCCCCGTTGCGTTGGACTGGACGGCTATGCCAATGACGTTGCGGCAGAAGATGATGAAAATACTGTTCGCGATAGCGTGAATGTCGTGGGCGCTGATCTCGGCCCCAGTCTTGGAACTAAGACTGCAGGAACGCCGCGGGCTTGACCTGCGAGTAGCTATCAGCACCGGGAGAAGGAGCTGGGAGTGAGACCGCGCTATAGCCCATCACGCGAGTAGCTATCAGCACCGGGAGAAGGAGCTGGGAGTGAGACCGCGCTATAGCCCATCACGGACACGTGTGATCGATGTGACGCATCAGATCCGCTTACTGTTCCATCCAAGTGGATTGCGGATATGTCCAGAGCTGCTTGTGTCGCCAAACCGGTTACCAAGGCTGAGGCAGCGAACAGAGTGGGGGCGACCGCCGCCTTGAAAAGGGAATGGGGTAGGCTGCGTGAGGTTAACGCGCGGGGCGAGAGCAGAGTGATGGAGCTGAGCCAGGTGCGAAAGATGACGGGGATTGATGCCTTCCACGCTGGTCGGCTCTTTGCCACCCTCGTCTGAAAGATCGCCGAGCTACCAGGGGGACATAAGTGTAGGAAGTTCAAGGGGCGCGTTGTTTTTGACAGATCTGACGTCGTTGATCAAGACAAGAACGTGGCAGTATTTTAAGAGCTCACATCTTGCCCCGCCGCGATGCAGGCGAGTGAAGCCGCCGACGCCTCTGGGCTCTTTCAGGGGCGCGACGTGCAACGGCTGATGAGCGTCAGGCGTGCGCTCAGTCACTGTTGAGAGGAGCACCGACGTTGGTTGGACTGCCGAAGGAGGCGTGGCCTGAGAGTTGGGCGGATAAAAATGACCCAGTGTGCCCTCTGCGATTGGCGTTTTTCGACCGCCCAGACGCTGGGGGATCTGGGGGAAAGCGCTGGGAAGCACGCGTCATATCTAAGGGTTTTGAACCGATCCCGTCGTGGCGCAGTTGTTGTTGCCGCCCGGAGCTGGCGCCCTTTTTGATAGTGTGCGTTGATGATTTTAAGGTGGCTGGTTCTGCCACCAACGTGCAGAAAGTAGGGGCCTCATCTTGAGTCCGTCGGAGACTGCGCCCAAGGTCATCGGTGTGGACCCGCCTGCGCCGGTGGGGCGATGCTTGGGTTGCGAGCACGGGCTCCCTGACAGGCGGATTGAATGGCAGGGCGAAGGCCCCGCTGCATTGGATTCTCCGCCCCCCGAAGGTAAAGGAGTCGAAGAATGCAGCGGCGGCTAACGCTGGCTTCCATGACCCCACCTTGGCCGTGGCCGCAGGGGCGACTCCAGTGTATACCGATAGGTCGTACTCTGTGCCGCCAGGGCAGAGTTTCTGGGTGCGATGCGACGCCGGTGCAAGACACCTCAGACCATCCTCGCCGTCTGGGCCTGATTGGAGATCAGTTGTTCGGCGGGTTGCCGTGGATTACGGCGCGTGGGAAGAGCCAGAGGCCTTAACGAACCCACGAGAAACGAGCAGGGAAAGTATCAATGCCGAGCTTCTGGGGGGTACTGCGGGCCCCGGGAATATGGCGACGCTGCTGTTCTACCAGATCCTCGGGCGCTCGGGCGACGATGCGCGCTGTCCGGGGGGGGGGGGGTCAGGCGTTCGGCCGCTCCCTGTCAACCTGCTGGTAGAAAAGACCGATGGCGACGTCAGTGACGCTGATGATGAGCATCACGAGGAGGCCTACGTACCAGGGTCGAAAAGAAAGGTGCAGGTGGTGGAGTATGATATGGAAGATTTCTTTGCGTCGTGCCTGAAGCTTTACGTTGAATTTACATATGCTGATCCTGAGACATGTTCGCTGGCAGGTACTCCTTGCGGCCCTGAGTTGACGAGCCTAGAGGACGCGCGTGGTGGTCCCCGTGGAGAAGGGGCTCGCCCGGCCGAGGAGGCGATAGCGGAATGTCTACCTGGGTTGGACAGCCTCGAAAGCGCGTTGCTGAACAAGAAGACGAGTTGGCAGGTGACGAGTTGGCCGACGGGCCCGAGGAGTTGCGACGTGAGTTGGTCAATTACGGTGGCTCGAGATGACGAGTGGCAATCCTGACCGGACCTCGAGGCGGCGGAGCCGTTGTCCATCGAGAAGAGTGATAAAATGAAGGAAGTCAAGGGCACGATGACCACCCAGATGCGCTGGGTCGACGCCGACAATTGCGACGGGATGTTTTGCGGGCGCGGACGAGCCCTTCCCTTGCTGGCAAAGAGTCGCCTGGAGATTGTTGACTTCAGGGATCGCGCGCTGGGAATGTCCTCGGCGTGATGCGCCCGCGGCGTCGCGCCTGGCCGGGGCGCTCCGGACCCGGGCCTCTCCTTGGGCGACGTGGGGCGCCTATTTCGACCGGGGGGGCCTGCAGCGCGAGGTTTACTTGGGGTAACCTCGAGGCGGGCTGCCGAGACTTGTGCCTGGACAGCTCCCGCGGGCAAAGAGGGCGATCTACGGCTTCGCAGGGGCGGCGCGCCTGTTCTGGCTCGCCGTGTGGGGCGGCCGGCAGGGGGGGGGCTGGGTCCAGTCGCGCCTCGAGCGGGCCCTGTTCTATTGCGGGATCGACGGGCAGCTGGAGGGCGTCGCGGTCTCTCGCGCGGGCGACGTTCTCATCGCCGAGACCTCGGAGACGAAGCTGAAGGACATCCTGTCGAAGGCCACGCGTGTGTTCTAGCGGGGGCGAAGTGATTGCCCTTCACGCTTAGAGGTCGGGGGATCTCGAAGGAGAAGCGTGGCCGAGTCGCGGCGACGGTGAACTGCGCGACGTGCGTCGAGCCGATCATGATCCCACTTGCGAGGCGGAAGCAGCTCCAAGCAGACCTGGATGCCGCGTGGGCGGCGGAGCTGCTGCGCGAGTCGGGCGAGATCGGCTGGCCGGCGAGGCAGGGCCGATTGGGCCTGGCGTTTCTGTTCGGCGAGTTGCAGCGTGCTTGAGCGGCGCTATGTGTGGCAGGCCTGTCAAGGCGAACCTGGCCTTGGCCGAGGCGAAGAGGGGCGCCGACGTCTCGCCGGTGCACCCGTCGGGCTTAAGGCTAGTCGCGGCGGCAGTGGGGGCTGCGGTGGAAGCGGGCCGAGCGCGCGGCCCCCGGCGCGACGACGTCGAGCGCTGCAGGGGCCGTGGAGGCCACGCGGTGCTACTAAATACGGAGGGTATTCTTCAAAGTCACCCTGCCCCTGTGGTGGTGCTGTACTGGAAGAGAGTGGCGTGGCCCAGCGAGTGCGTCGGTCTACGCTTGCAGCGGAGGCGAGCCACCTGGCGGGCGCAGTGGAACCTGTTGATTGGGCGACGATGTTGCTGCGTGTAGCTATGAGTGTATCTGTGGATGTGCTCAATTGGCAGAAGGGGGCGGCCGAGCTCCCGCGCTGCTGGGCGCCGGCGCCAAGTCAGTTTACGACCGTCTCGCCGAGGAGGGCTCGGCCAAGAGCAAGGGCAAACCGATGGCGATAGATGGGTTCTCTTCCACGGGGCGTGCTGCGATGTGATGGAACCCGCCCGCGCTGGATTGACGGCTCGTAGAGCGTGGCGGACGTGCTGGCGACGCTGGGCGTCGACGAGACCCGCTTGTCCAAGACGCGAGGCGAAGTGGCCTCTCGCGCGTGGCCCGGCGGCGGTGGCGCTCAGGAGGGAGGAGGGAGAGCGGTCGGCGGGCCGCGAGGGAAGCCGCCGCGGGCGCCACCCAAACGGCGGACAAGCCGAAGGAGAAGCTCGCGAGAACGAGGGAGATGCAACGCACCGCATGGGTGAAGGATTGGTTTCAGCGTTTCTTTTCCATGGCGCCTCGCCCCGCCCTTCCCCCTCTGCTGCTGTCTCGGCCCGAGCCTGGGGCCCTGGGCTTGCCCCCGCGGCCTCCGCCCGGAGATAGGCAGACGCCTGCGGACTGTGCGCTCGGCAGGAGCAAAGGGGGCTGCGGCCAGGCCGTCAAGAGCTTCCAAATGCGTTCAAAATCTAGCCTACACCAAGCAAATGGCGAACGCGAGCGACGATATTCGGCATCGCGCACGTTGGCGCAGACAAGGATCTGCTCTTCATGCCGTGTTTCGGGAAGCGGCTCCAGGGGCCGAAGACGTGGGACAGCCTTCCGTGGCGATTCTTTTCTGGGCGACGCCTGGGCCCGAAAGGAATCGTCAGGTCCTCGCTCGCGGATCGTGCCCATGTCGAGGGAGCGCCAGCGTGGGGCAATGCGCGAAGATGAGCAACGGTACCCGTTTCCGCGCAGAATCGGCGCGATCCGTCGCCAAATCAGGTGGTATTGGCCTCATATTGAATCGCTTCGCTCATTCCGCCGGCCCATTTCGCATGACTGAGCCGCGCATATCCGCCACCGCGCTTGTGGAAGACGCTTAGCTGGGCAGCAGCGGGGCGAGAGTGGCAAGATGGCCCGAGAGACCTCCGACTTTCGAGATTAGCCAGGGCCGTCCAGGAGGGCCGAAAAGTTTCGAAGGGGATCCTGCCACCGTGCCTTGGTAGAAGGTTAGAGTCCTCCTGGGTACGCTCGGGGTCGCTTTGGAGAGCTCTAGGCAGTTTCTTAGGATGAAGTGTTGATGATTATTTTTGGGGCCTCTTCGGAACCTTGCCGGATTTGGGGACTTTTGGGGGTTGTGGTGGGCTCTTAAACGCGTCGGGTCGTTGGCATTTGCTTGCGTGCTGGAGGGGGCATTTGGGGAGCCTCTTGGGGCCGCTGGGGGGCCTCTTCAGCGTCGCTTGGGGGCCTCCTGAGGGCCTCTTGGGGGCTTTCGGGGCCTCTTAAGGGGCCTTTTGAGGCCTCCTGGGGGCTTCTTAAGGCCGAGGGCTCGAAGTTTTGTTCTGTGTTCCCCCTTTGGGGCATCGCTTGGGGCCCTCTTGGGCCCCTCTTGGGCCGTCTTGGATGCTTCTGGGGCCGTCTTGGAGCCCTCTTGGGCCATCTTGGGGCCTTCTTGGGAGCTTCTTGGGCCCTCCTGGGGCGATCTTGGGGGCCTCTTGGGCCGTCTTGGGGTGTCGGGAAGCCGAAAAGATGGACACGCCAAAATCTGCCCAAAACCTCAGGACAAATAATGAATTTTGCCTCTTGGGGCCCTCTGGGGAGTGCTCTTGGAGGCCTCTTGGGGCGTCTGGGGGCCATCTTGGGCATCTTGGAACGATCGTGTGGCAGCTCGGAGCAGTCTTGAACCATCTTGGAGGGCTCTTGGCGGCCTCGTGGCCCTTCTTGGGGCTCTCTGGAGGGCCACGGGGGCGGCGCCCAGGAGGAAAACCATCTCTGATCCGAGTCTGCCGGGGATCGCCCGGGGTACTTTTCGTCTGGGGACCCCCAGGGGCCGCCCCGCGCGCGCGAAGTAGAAGTATTATTTAGCAGTTACCGGAGATCTTAGCACGCCTCTGGCCCGTTGGGCCGTCGAATTTTGGGTGGGGGGGCCTCCCCGATTCGTGCATGTGATTTGGCGCCCGCGCGCCATCCGCACCACCCAAACATATTTGTACTATTTGTGCGTCGACCCCGCAGGGGCTACGCGCCCATAGAAGTCACACAATTTCTGCTCGGTGGCGGGCGCTTTCTGGCCGTACCGTCTTGAGAACGATATGCATTTATGTGTTTAAAGAGTATGTTCGGTTTGGACGTGCGCCTCCAATGGGGGCGCATACTATCACTAGTTCTGCGTCCCACGCCAGATCCACGGATTTCCAATCCACGTCAGCGTGTGCCCGACACGCGGCGAGTTGCTGGGGGTCTGGCCGACGAGTGCTTCCGCCGCCGCCGCCGCCGTTCCAGACACAACACAGCCAAAACCACAACAAACTGAATTTTTCGGGAAGGCCCTTCGGGAAAGAACTCGCTGACTTCGGCATGAACATTTTGGTTGTGGTTGTGGTCGATTTGGCTGTCTTGGGACACAACTTCGGCTGCAATCATGCAGATGGCTTCGGTTGACGGTTGTTGGTGCGATCAGGACATCCCCGTGGTGTGCCCTCGATGTGGTGGTGGTCGCTTGCGGTCCCCTCCCGAGAGGTGCGCCAGCCGCGCTGCTCGACGCAGGCGGGGACAGCGGGTGATGGACGGGGCCGCCGCCGCCTTTCCCTCGAGGCTTTCGAGGAAACGAGAACATGGATTGAGGCAGCGTGGATTAGCGACGGGTCTCGTTAGCATGCGAAATCGGCGCGCACCGTCGTCAAAGAAGGCGGCATTGGCTTCACGTTTCGGGGGTACCTTTCCCGATCCGTGGACCTGGCGCCCACCAGATTCACGGATCCCTAATCCATGTTAGCGTGCGCCCGAGGTTCGAGGATGGGGTTTGCGAGCGCTTGCGAGCCTGGCCCTGTGGGTCCAGTCGACGCTGGGGTATTTCCAGGCCTCCCAAACGGGGCTGGAGTCGAAGGGGTCGCAGGATCACGGCGCATGGCCAATGCATCAGCGATGCCGCGCCCTCGAGGCTCGAGGATCGGGTCTCCAGGTCACGCGCTCGGGCGCGGAGATAACAGCGCCTCGCGCGTCGCGGTCTGGGCCAGAGCGGTTGCCCTTCTCCAATGGGGGCTGTCCCGAGGATGCGATGACGCGAAGATGATCGCGCGTCGCGCATGGCGCGGTGCAGTGCAAAGTTGGGTGGCTTGCGTAGGGTCTGTGACTACTTGCGAACCTGCGGGTCAGTCGACGCTGGGTTATCGGACGCCTCTGTGGGGGTTCACCTGGCTACACGCATCGCTCACATTTTGGCCACCAGCTGGGGTTTGGAAGATCTGACCTGCAGGGACAGGGTTCACGTGTGGTTGCCAGTCGAGGATCGAGGATCTGAATGGGTTTCGAAATCAAATTCTGTTTCAAACGCATGCAGGACAGAACATCATGCTTGGGCCCAGACATCCTTCGCCACGGAAAATCGATGCGGCTGTTTTCTCAAAGTTTCAATTTCCGTAGGCCCGTTTCGTTCAACGAGACCATAAAAAACCAGCTTGGGATGAAAAGCTGATCCTGGGAAGGGGATGGCAGCTCCAGGGGCCACGTATAGTGAAAAACACGACGTCGGAGTTCAGGAGACCTCCGACGTTTTCGAGGTCCGGGAGAGTCGAGGATCGTGTTTGATGGACGTTTCTTTCCCGGAAAGGGTTCGAGCCCAGGGTTTTCTTTTAGTTGGCAATTTGTCCCTGGTCCTCAACTTGCGATGGCCTGCGAGTTTCTGCTCGATGAAGCCAGGGATTGAGTTTAATCTCCAATTGGGGAACATAGTTTCTCGCGTATTTGCTCGAATAATCTTCCCCCCCTTGTGTCGGATCCTCTCTCTCTCTCTCTATATATATATATATAAAAAACTATATATATAGTTATGTTTAAATATATGGTCAGCTTATATATATAGGTATATCTATACATCGGGGTCCGCAGGTCCGAGGCTTCCTTGGTAAAAATGAAGGTGCGGAGCTTTCTGCGTGGAATCCTCATGAGGGACCGAGGGGTGCGTTGGGCTTTGCAGGGGACCCGCAAGAACCCGTCGGCCATGCTGGATCCCAAGCAGTGTGCTTCTAGCAACATAGCCCGTGCAGTCGATGTGGAGCAACCTGCTTTTGCAGTCCACATGGTGCAATAGATGTTGTGCATTGTTGTGCATTTTCAATCTGTTTGTGTGTACATGCATTTCTTGTGCAACTTATGATGTGGAATACCTGTTTTGGAATAGTTGTGGAGCAGTAGATGTGGTGCAATTTATGTGTTGCAATTAATTTCTGTTCGCATTGACCACTCCACTGCTCGCGCAAGCATCCCACCCACCCACCCGCAACTTGGTTTGGAAAACCCCTTAAGACCGTGACGGTGGGTACCAAATGGCACTGGGCAACGACACCGACGCCGACGACGACAGCGACAACGACGGCGACGACGCTGCCGACAACGACTACGACGACACCGACGACG